GTCATTGTTCAATTTCAGTTCAAAGATCTATAGACACATATATCATGTATATTTAGAAGTTTAATAATTATTAAGTATTCATTTTTGAAAATAAAAATATGAGTAAAAATGGTACGATTGCAAGTTAGATAATTCACGACCAAAATACGCGAATGTAATAAACTATCCGTTCACCTTTCGGCATTCAATAATGACCACAGTCCATTCCGTGTAATAGGCTGTAACATTTTCAGATATGACAAAATATATGAGTAGTATGGATTTTGGTTGATCTTTTATGGTTCTTTAAATCATATAGCTCTTTACTTGTGACATTAGTTAGACTTGTTGTGTGTATCATTTATTTTCCAGTATTAAGTGTTCTTGATGAAGGTAAAGCTTCCGACGAATAACAACTATTAATTGTAGTTTTCGATTTTGTAAGAGTACCGAAAACCAAACAATGCATAAGCTGTGCTACATCTGTAATAGGCTATTCTTGTCTTGAGGACAATATTGTTTTTAGAAATATTTGAAACTTTTTATGAACAGTAAATTTTCAGACAATATCAACTCAATATCTACACATCATCAGATTACAAATTGAGAAAATAGAGAACAGCTTTTGTATATAGTGATATATTTAAATAGACAATGACAATTGAAGCGTTAAAAAGCCTTTGACAAATTATTTCCTAGTATTGCATTGTATTTATTTGTACTAATTCGAAAATCCCCACATCGTCAAATATTCTTACACAATGCACAAACATATACTTTGTATTTTATATTGCAATTTGAGTTTTTTCTTATTTTTTCAAATACCTTTTATTGTTGTTCATTTATATCAAACAAGCACGACTTACTTTTGTACATACTTGTTTGTCATTTAATACTCTTGGATAATGCTAGGAAAAAAACTACAATGTTTTCCTTCTTAGATGATAAAGTGATAGAAAATCCTAGGTATATCCGCACATTCTAAGTTTTGTTAACAACTAATCTATACTATGACCATATCGATGATAATTCGTGTTATCACAAAATTTCTGACTACTTTAATGCCTAGAAGAAAGATTTGAAAGATACAAGATTTTGTAAGAGTACCGAAAACCAAACAATGCATAAGCTGTGCCACATCTGTAATAGGCTATTCTTGTCTTGAGGACAATATTGTTTTTAGAAATATTTGAAACTGTTTATAAACAGTAAATTTTCAGACAATATTAACTTAATATCTACACATCATCAGATTACAAATTGAGAAAATAGAGAACAGCTTTTGTATATAGTGATATATTTAAATAGACAATGAAAATTGAAGCGTTAAAAATCCTTTGACAAATTATTTCCTAGTATTGCATTGTATTTATTTGTACTAATTCGAAAATCCCCACATCGTCAAATATTCTTACACAATGCACAAACATATACTTTGTAGTTTATATTGCAATTTGAGTTTTTTCTTATTTTTTCAAATACCTTTTATTGTTGTTCATTTATATCAAACAAGCACGACTTACTTTTGTACATACTTGTTTGTCATTTAATACTCTTGGATAATGCTAGGAAAAAAACTACAATATTTTCCTTGTTAGATGATAAAGTTCATAGTAATCACTTTCGGAATAGTATTCCGTTTTGTTTTCTTTTTATGTTGATATTTTTAATCAAAAAGTGGGAATTCTGGTACATGTAACTCAAAAAACATATCCCTTCCGAATTGAATTTTACATTCATATATTAATTTATCGACTTATATGAATCTAATATTGTCTCGCAAAATGGTTGTGAAACTATTTTATTGTATCTTCAATTGCAGAATGTGTTGCTTTATTTATTTTGTTTTTGTTAATTCTTTTTGTTTAGTTTTGTTTTAATTATTTCTGTTACATTTCTATAGCTTGTTTAGTCTCAGGGATGTGTTGACCTTGTTATAATAACCATATGGTTGTTCCTTACGTCGGTTTTGTCTTGTCGTAAAAACTGAATTTTTATCAAAATATAAAGAGATACCAACGCTTCGTTTGACTCAAATGGTCTGACGAATATTTATAGGAGATATTGCCATTTGACGATAAATTTAATTAATTTCATTTTTCTCTTTTGTTAGTATATTGAACAATACATAGGGAAATATTTCAGCGAGAGGAGATCTATACAAAAAACATTGCATGGCCAAACTGACCAGTTCACTCCTTATAGGAGTTATTGACCTTCGACGACGTAAACATACTTTTTTGCTATTATTTGTAAGATAATTTATCATAGAGGAATCTTTAATTGAAAATAATTACAAAAAATGAAATGGCCAAATTAATCAGTTAAGCAGTTATTGCCCTAAAAAACCATTTTAACAAAAAAGCATATGACTATTAAGTTGACCACAACTTTGCGTTTGGAATAAACCTGGAATGGTAAAAATTATCAAACAAATATATCTGTTATCAAATCAAATGGCCGAATCAGTCAGCTCACTCCCAATAAAAGGTAAGATTTTTTCCATAGATTGTGTTTTTTGGCTTTTATATTGGAAACCAAAAACAGATCGAAACTACAAAAATTATCAGAAAGGTAAGATTTACAAATATATTCAGCATATATCCGAAATCGTCACGTTATTTGTGTCATTGCCCTACAATGACGCTGTTAACTCATTTCTATGGGTCTTTTTAAAAATTATTATAGAAGAAAGAAAGAGATAATTCTACAGCAAAAATGACCAGAAAAGTAAAATCTTCTGCTGACTCTGATGAGAGAATTCGACAGTCGACTCCATAGAGAAGTTAATGCCCTCAAATGACGAACTTTACAAATATTTTGTTGTTTTCGGCAATTATCCTGAAAATTATAGATAGATGGAAGAAAATTTTGAAATAAAAAAAATCAGCATGGAATAAATGAAGATTGTTCACCCTTTTTTATTAGACTATGATAATAGATTTAGCCAATCTGTACACTGCAAAAGCAAGCTTACTTAACGGTGAGATAGACAAATTAAGACAGCAGTTGTCAATCCATGTTCAAATTTGATGAATCGATTAAGAAAACATATCAAGTTAACAACGGAAAGCTTAGGTAATCGCATGAACACTATAAAGATTTAGACCGATTGTGTTGACAGAGTAAGCGTCTCTTTTCTATGCATTCATTACCAGACATGTAAATCCACACAAATGTAAAAATCAGAGATTGGCTGCAATTGGTAAAATCAGGGATCAGTATCTAAAGTTCTAAGAAAGCTTAAATACTTTGTTAGTGACTTTGAGACAAAGACACACCATATCGGTGAACCAACTCGTGATGGTGACCGTGAAACATGTGTAGTAATTACTTAATTCGTTCTTCCTCGCAACTCTTTTTTTTGGTTTAAGGAGCATGCCCCTTCTAGTGAGAGTATTTATTAACCATGCACAATTACGTATTAGCTGACATATGTAAACATCATACAATTGGTGTGAGGATAAGGTACGACTGTGAAATGCGAATTTGACAAGCTGAAAGCCGGACAAGGAATCAGAGCTATGCATAGTGTCATTAACTAGCGGTTTCTGTATTGGCCCTGGTATAGAAAAAAAGTGTGACAAAAATACCAAATTCAATGGCAAATTCAAAAAGGGGAAGTTTTTTTTATTAATCAACAGAGCAAGTAAAAAACAACTGCCATAATACTGACTTGGTAAATGCATTTTCCGAAACAAAAAGTGGTGGTTTTATAGCTAGCTAGCTAAGGTATTTAATAGTTGTTTGTATTTCCGTTATTTTTTAAAACAAATGTGTAAGCAACACAAAACAGACATAGTTAAACGCCGCCATATTCTGTATGTGCCTGTTCCTCGTCAGGAGCCTGTAATTCAGTAGATGTGGTTTGTTGCTGTATATCATATTTGTTTTACGTTCATTATCTTGTACATAAATCATATTTGTTTTACGTTCATTATCTTGTACATAAATCAGGCCGTTTAATAGTTTTCTTGTTTGAATTGTTTTATATTTGTTATTTCGGACCCTTTAATAGCTGACTATGCGGTACGGGTTTAACTCATTGTTGAAGGCCGTACGGTGACCTATGGTTGTAAATGTCTGTATCATTTGGTTTCTTATGGAGGTTTGTCTCAATGGCAATCATATCACATATTCTAATTTTTATAATTAGGTTAATGTGACCATAATTTAGATCCAGCAGCCAAAACTGTGGAAACATACATCATAGACATACAACACAAGTGAATAAAAATCAAACAAACATACCGACTAATCTTACAAATAAACCCAAAAAAACAAAAGAGTCCAGATCTAATACAGCTGATCAAAAATCTATACCAGGGTCAACATATAATCTGCGTTCTCTTTGTTTGATCAACGGAAATGAAAATATCCACTTGGAAAAGCTTTGGAATATTTCCGTTTAAAAATGTAACTAAACACGGAACCTATTTTCAACTTTTTGTGTTATTTTTAAGTAATTTGAAATATGATAAAATTGTATTGTATACATCATAACACGTACAAATGTTTTTGGGGCTCAAAATAAATACAACCGGAAGTGAATGTCATGTATATACCATGGGATGGACCGAAAACTGTTTAAATATTAACAGTGCGACGCTATCAGTATTTCAAGTGCTGGTTTATCCGCAAAAACATCTGATTTAATCTTCTCATTTAATATTCTCTCTATCTCGTTTGATTAACCATTGATAATCTATATAATGATTCTACTGCATGCGCCTTACTAAAGGAGTTTTCATAACCATATGTCGAAGAAAGAAGGACATCATTATGACCAAATAAAAGAGACAATTGAAATACACCAATCCACAAAACACTTAAAGACAACTAAGAAATGAGCATACATGTAACAAACATCAATGAAAAACAAAAACTGGGATTTGATTTATCAAAATAACCTGTCAGGGCTCGCAATGTTTTAGCATGTCCCATGTCAGGAACATAATTCGTGATTGTCTTCAGTCATATAGTAATAATTTTGTGTATTAGAAGAGACATGAAGATAAAGCTTATTTATTATAAAATTTGCTACAACTTTAATAGTAATATGCAACAGTTACTGTATAAATGACAATAATTATCCTACACAAAAGATTATTTGGAAACAGTCAGTTTCGATTTAAGAACGTATAAAACCTGTTCTGTTTCTGAATTTCGTATTTATTATTTGTAATCGATAAAAAAAATATAGTCGTAAATCTGGTGACCAAACAAGAATTTTCTCTAAATTGAATTCTCGAATTTTGTGCCGTTTTCGTTCAGACAGTTATTAATTTGATAAGATCATTCCACTTTCAAAGTGTGGGTTTAGTTTTAAAAAATAATACTGAAACGGCCTCACAATGTATACAAATATAAAATGATTAACTATCTGTACAGCAACGCAGTATGTAACCTTTAAATTTTGTATTATCGGAAAAGAAAAGTTTATAACAAAATGTTATGCATTGTTTGGAAAAAGAGTTCAATAACTTTTTCTCAAGACAAGCGAAAATACTTTGTTTTCACTGATTTAACGTGTATTCTGTACAAATATGTATCTTTTTACAAATGGTATCTGATCAACATATTTATCAACATACGATTTCATTACAATTATAACATTGAGTTGAAAATGACAAACCTGCTTTCACTACTGTTATTTAAATAGCTGAATCCGCGCGTGCATTTATCCTTCCGGTTTTTCCGTACCATATCATAATTAAGCTTTGGATTAAAGTAGTCTACCATGAACATGTAAACACGTCAATTTGAAACTGAGTACATGTGTTCTCTATGATGTGAACTTTACACGGTACAATCCAAAAAATTATTTGACCCATTTTTTGTATTTGAAATGATACACTACAAGCGGAGCATTGTCCTAAGGAAATATATATTTTTGGAGGGTTTTTGTTTTTTTTATTCTTTCCTTTTTATGTTTTAAGCACTTTCAGGCTTGTTTGACCTAAAACGTTACGTGTTTATTTCCTAATTAATCAAGGAGCATATTTTTGCATGGTGAAGGTGAAAAGAGTCAATATCCAACTTGTCCCTCCATTTTCTCATCGGTAACAAGAATTTGAATTTTCAAAAAATTGGTTAAACGGTTCACTCAATCAAGGACTAAAACTGCTGAACGGCAAAAGTCAAATCGTCAATATTAACTTGACCTCCATGTTGTCATAATTATATTGAAATTAAAAAAGAATTGCTCAAACAGTTCATAATTTGTTGCAATGAAACTATAAACAGCCGATCGCTGCTCGCCGCCAATTTTCCGCTATACTTCATTATTTTGACAAACAAAATCAATAATATATTTCCATAGAACAATGCCTAGCTCGCACTATTACATTTCCACGATGAAATGTGGGTAAAAACCATAATTCGGAATATATAGTTAAAAGTTCACATAACCGGTGTTCATGTTTTTAAGTAGACTACTCACATCTGACGGTTGGCACTAGTAGAGCATAATCTGCGTATCCTTCGAGTGCACCTTCGACCCCATTCCCCCAATATTTGGTGAAGTTTTGGGTTGCACAGTCTTTTGTTTCCTATGAAGTGAGTTGTGAACGCGTTTGTCATTTTGCCATCTTCCGTTTTTGTCATGGCGTTGTCAGTTTCCCATGACTTATGGCTTTTAAATGGCCTTTGTAACTTTTGTCTTATTTTGAACAGGTATAGGAAAGGACGTTTGATAGACGTACCACCGTTGGTATCCTAATTCTTTATACAATTGTATCTAACACTATTTTATTAAGCTTGCTTAAAATAATCAGCCAAATGATAAATTATAATTTCGAAACGATATTCAGTTTGATAATTTTTAAATCAAATTTAGACTTCACTTGTTTCCAAACAAATCAAAATATTATGTTATACATCACAATAATCATACTCGTCCTCGATATCAGATGACATACCCCGATAGACAAAACCTTGAAGTTTTTCTGTTGCCAGATTTTTAACTGTATGTAAACGGGGCCAGCCATTTAATAATCCTGGCTGAAGACTAAAATTTTTTTCACTTGCGCTCAGTTCTCCAAATTGTCGCTTTATTTGTAGAAAATCTATTTTTGAAGGTGTAAAAGTTGTTTGTATCAACGATAATGTAGATGGATTGTTGTTGTCAGACTCTTCTTCGATCTTGTTAAGAATTGACTTGTTCTGTGTATTTTTTTGGAGGATTTCCTCCTTGTAGGAATCTCTTACTTTATTTATAATTTCTACAAGTTTTGCTGCATGAAGATCCATCGCGTTCAACTGTTCGTCCAATTCACCCTTCCAGACTTCTTTATGTATTTGAATATGTTGTTCAAGTATTTCATTGCTTAGTATAACGTTGTTTGGTCTAGGAATTGACTTTAAGGCATGCCTTGCGTGTACTGATTCCACGCATTGATCACAAATGAATTGCCTACACTCTGTGCATAGAAAAGTAGTTTCTTTGCTATGTGACGAACAAAAAACGTGCTCTGTACTATTTTCTAAGACTGCACACTGGCATCTTTCCATGGCTGGAACTGCAGTTGGTCTTTTGAACTTCCTTATATAGTGTGATAAACTTTGTTTAGTAACTGAAAAAATGCATTTACAATTTCATCTATCATTTTAATCGTTTTGCATTCGAGTGCATATTATATGTTTGTAAACAATTCATTTGGAAAGTGTATCCAATATAAATTGATATTTATTTGTTTTTCATAAATTTACATGATACCTTTTTGAATGGTAGACAATGTGGAAACAACAAAAACAATCACAATAAAATCTATGTAACTGAGATCTATTGTTTTCGCAGCCCGTTAATAACTTTTTATTACAATATCATTTTCTACAGAAGGAAATGCCTGTACCAAGTCAGGAATATAACATTTGTTTTCCATTCGTTTTATGTGTTTAAGCTGTTAATTTTGCCATTTAATAAGGGACTTTTCGTTTTGAATTTTCCTTTGAGTTCGGTATTTTTTTATTTTACTTTTTATTTGTATAGCCAGGCTGATACATTTAAATTGTAAAAAACAGTGTCATCGTATTGAAAATGATGAGTATTTACTATTTTAATTAAAATACGAAATAATAATAAATCAAAATTACCTTACCCTCACGTCTTTGTTCACACCGAGTGTCCAGTTTAGAAAAAACAATAATATATATTGTTATTTATAAACTCTTATTATACGGAAACTTATTTCATGTATTTGTCTTACTTCCAAATCGAAATGACTTAAGTAGTAGGAGGGAAGTGTATGATTAATTTATAAGTAGCTACGCGTACAGAGAGGAAGATACTGAATCGAGTTTCGGTTTTATAAAATCAATGAAAAGATTGACAGTACGATGGATAATAACAATCACGAGTTGTTGACTATTGACCCCTGAATAATAAGCAAGTCATGTTTATATGTAGTAACAATATAAAAGGTTGCTATGGATTATGCAATAAGCGTGTTTTGTGACGGTATGTGCACTGTTTTAATGATTTTTTTTAAATACCGTTTTCCATATTAGTAATAATATTTTTACATAATCATTGGCATTGTTTTATTCGGACTTCGATCTTTTTTAATTAAAATATTTGTTGAACAGCATTCATCAAACAAAGTTCGATGAGTACTATTGTAACAAATAATTGACACTGTGGTTTGTGTTACGTTTGCCTAAATTTTATGTTGATAGTTTTACTGTTTCTGGTTCATGTGTCATGAATAACTGCTCGCATATCTATTTCAACTTTTTCATTCATGTTTTAGGGTAACATTACCGGTGTTTATTTTTTGGTAATATTTAGTGGTCAAAACCGCTTCGTTAGTCTCGTGATTTCAACCTGTCCTCTACTCGAATCCGGATGTTGTAAGTATACCCGGCTGGGTCAAACTAAAAACTTTAAAACTGATATTTACTGCTTCTCAGCTAATCACGTGGCATTCAGGATTAAGAGCAAACACTGGTTGGCTCGAAGTCAGGAAAATTTGTAAGGGTCTCATGTAGACTGTTATCTTGTGCACTAGCACGTTGAAAAGCCGGCTGAGCCTGTCGGTAAAACACAGCATAATCTATATTCATATCACATTATCGTGTTATGTTCTTTTCCTGAATATGCGTCACTATCCATCCATCCCACATCATAATTTTAAGTATCTTAAGGTTAGAATCCAATAAAGTATAAAGTTTCATCCCGACTGTTTCATAGATAATAATGTTATCATGTGTCACGTGGCTGTGTCAGAAGTGGTGCGAACTTCATTTTTGTTATGTTATACCACACTTTTCGGTATGGCTTTCGCTATACGTGTAGTACGTAAGGTGACCTGTAGTTACTTTAAACACTTCATTTGGACTCTGTTGGATTGTTATCTCATTGAATGTAAGCATTTACTTAGGTAAACAAATTTCAGTTTTAGACGGTCATTTTGACCTTAACATAATCAGAAAAGTCCGAAACTGACAAGAGTTTAAGTTAATTTGCATATATATTTAAATTGTAAATTCAGTTCTGTTAAGAAATTTTGTGTTCCGTTAATTCAGTACTGTTCAGTAGCATCTTAGACAGCGAATATACAGTTTAATACTAGCTGTTGAACAGTCTGAGCATAATCTGAACAAATCTTAATTGACTACAAACGAATTGTCTGAATAGTTCTGAAGTTACCACAATTCATGAATCTAAAAATCGACTTAAAGACTGAAAATAACTTAACACTATTCAGGAGTTAAAATAGTTTAAATGTTATCTTATATGCAAATGATAGAAAGAAGATAACAACAACAATTTTCAATGAATAAATTGCTTAATCATCTTGTCCTATTCAAGTTTCGAAAAGTTAAATCTATTATGATTAGCAATAGGTCATTTCTGTTCTAAACTCTATTCTATTCTACTTTAATCCATCAAATGTTCAATTGCAATTTGATATTCTGTAGTAATACGTTTTCGATTTGCAGAATTTGACGGTGAAAACAAAATGCCTGTGTTTAAAGAATTGCATCTGGATATAAACAAAGTCGATAAATACATCTGACGAATACTTTTATTTTTTCACACAATCCGTATCTATATTTATATTATAGCGATTCATTACACATCATGACGTGTTGGTAATTTTTTAATGTTAATATCTTTAAAGTAGGACACTCCTTCGTTTCAATCAAAATTTAAGACTTCTTTACTCTTCCAATTGCTTTCCATTTCCCTGTCATTTTACTTATATATATTGACTACACATACCTTTGCTTAAGAAAAGAAAGAAAATGCCCTACATTTTCGGCATTAAACGTCAATTTTCGGAGTTACCGCTTGAATCGCTATATCGTGCGTAACGGCAATCGAAGTGGTTAAAAATAAATATATTGGCATTCATACCCCATCTTCTTATTCATATATGGTTGTGTACTTTGAGAGTTAATAGTATATAAAAAACTAGACCACTTGGGTTGGGAAAAATGCATCTAGATTTTTTTATTAAAATAATTAAGAGCAAATGTAAATGAAAAATAAATGAAAATAACATTTTATGAATTTGTATCAATCGTTCCAAGCTGTTTTCTGTATTTATCTTTATCAGAAACGCTATCGTTCCAAGCTGTTTTCTGTATTTACCTTTATCAGAAACGCTATCGTTCCAAGCTGTTTTCTGTATTTACCTTTATCAGAAACGCTCAAACTTGATCATTTAAAAGCCAGGGATGTACAAATTCACAAAACCGTAAGAAACTGTATAATCTTAAATCCCAAACTCATCTTAGGTCAACCTTGCTCCAGGAAGTTTGAACCTTATAAGTTCAATAAACATTTTTTTAATAAATCAATGGTGAATAATAATAAAATGTAAGAAATATACAACGGATTAATGTTCTGTGCAAGTTGCTTATACTAAATAAGTTTAATCGTAAGAATTATTTAGAATTGGATGTCATTTTGTTTAATTTTAACTTTGGGTCTTAAATTCTGTGAACTATTGTTGCTGTTCAAAATCATTTAAAACTACATGTTTAGTTTCAGGTCAAACGACTAGAACTAATTTATCAAAGACATTCTATATTTGTTTAAGAGTTAATATTTCTTTTTCAACAGGAAATGAAAGAACAACGTTTCAACTTCCCCCCACCCGATCATATATCTTTTCAGTCCAAGGGCAATAACTATGATTATTTTTTTACCTTTTATTTAATGTTATTAAACTTCAGCCTCGTATTATCAGGTCTTCGCTATTCATTTCACCATCTGTAAACAAATAGCCCTTTAATATGAATGTATGAAATGGTATGTGCAAATGCTAATACATCTGCACACAAAATACTATTGACCTACAACTAGTGGTTCTTCTTAAAATGACCCAATCACAAACTAAAACATTAAAACTAGTCAATTAATATAACTATGACTGAGGGGGAGGGCCAAAACAAAAATCTCCATGGGAATGAGATGTGCCAATGATTATTCAACTGCATACTAAATATATCTAATTTACCTCTAGTGGTAACCAATAAAACTACCTAATCAAAAACTAAAACATTGTTGATCCGCCTGAAAAAATGTTAAATATAGAATATTTCAAAGACATTCTGCCAGAATAAAATCAAAATACCTTAACGACAGAATAAAAAAGTTGTCTTGACATATTGACAGGTGCATGAAAACGTAATACAGTTGGTCTATATGCCACTTGTTGTAATATGCTGGTTTATAATCATAATAATAATGAAAAAGAAATATATTCATATAAATTATCTTATATTTGGATCACACTATAGTCTGTCTCAAGCTTTACTGTCCATCAAAAAAACGCGATTTTTTTTTTTATTTGTGCAAATATTTGTTTCAGACAGCGATTTTCTGAAAGAAAATAAAATTACAACACGATTCACGTACCTCGGGTTATTCAGAAACTGTCTAGATGCGTGTACGTAGCATTTCAAATTTCTCTATGGGAAATTAACATTGCAATGGTCGCCTATTTTTCTCCGGATGTTTTGTTTAGGAGAATGTATTTACGTCATCAAAGTCCACGCGACATTCCGTATAGTAATCAAAGGGAAATAACTCGTATGAAAGACGCTGACTTCGACTGAAACCAGCTGATTGTCTGACTACAGAGAAAAGAAAAACTCAACCAGAGAGAAGAAATGAGTGTAAAACAAGTAAAATCATCACAAATTCTCAAAAATAAAAAATGGGTTCTTCCGGTATTGATTTATATGTTTGTTAACAGATCGGAATGTTTTGAGATAAAACTAAATTGCAGTAAATTTAGGCAGATCTGTGAAAATCGACCAATTCATACAGAAGGACCCATTTGAAGCTTATGACCCATGCTCATTTCTTTTCTTCTCTTCTGGAATTCACAAAATAAACTCCCGACCCTTTCAAAATCCACGCACGTCACCACAGAACACTGACAACTAAATGATCAAGCCGATGTGAATGGGTTTTTTTGTTCTAAAAAAACAATAAAACGAAAAAATCCACACGTTCTAATAAAATCTCAAACAGGGGGAGATAGAAAGACTGTATACTCAATTAAAAAGGGAACTCTACAATATGAACATTACTATGCGTAGGCTATAATATAGTCAATACATAATCAATCCCTCCCTTCATGAAACAAATACCCCCCAAAGGTGACTGGGGAAAAGAAATATGGTCACCATTGGTCTTCCTCCGACCGGCGGTAAAACCCTCGCTAAAGTGAGGCGTCCGTTTGGCTGTGCGGGATGTACAAGTTCGCAGTCACGTCCGGTCAGAATGGGGACGTTAAATCCGATACCTCGTGTCACAGTAAAGACAGTGCCACGTTCTTTGCACGTTAAGAACCCTTTCAACAACTTTTTGAGGGGTCCGTAGGTGGGCTGTTGCAAGGCTAAGTTTCTGTCCTTATCCAATATACCCTCATTTTCCCGTGGCAGTCTAAATTTCCCGACCTTCATCCCGGACGGCCTCTATTACAGGACATAACAACATGTATTTTATTTATTGTTAACTCGTCCTGAACATGCATGAAATATTTGCCACTGGACGTTAAGCAACCAACAATCAATCACCATCATGAAACTAATGATGAGAGGAGCTTGTACTAGCGTATCAACTTGGATGTAAGAAATTGATAAATCCCTCATGGCTCCTATTCACCGGACTAGCATAAACATAGACTAATTTTCCTACAAATGAAAAAAAAATAAATGCAAACACAACAAATTAACAAAACAACAATATACGAAGGTGGTAAGTCATGAACAATTCAGTATACTTACG